CAGCAAGTTCGATCGATCACAAGTATATTTCGATCGATCGAAAGTTCATTGATCTAGACATTTCAAGATGGATCCAAGCTATTTTGTTCTTATCCAAAGATCCCACAAAGTTCGATCGATCCCATAATTCTCAAATCAATCGAAAAGATTCCATCTTATCCTGTTGTACCACCCTACCTACCACTTTTGTCTCATTCCCCAAAATATCTCGATCTGTCCTTATCCAAAAAGGCGCCGCCATAGAGGATCGATCCAGCCAAAGTTTGATAGATCTCAGCCATGTTCGATCGATCTCACCACAAGTTCGATCGATCGAACTTCCCCAAGTGTGAGAAAATTCAATTTCCAACTCATTAAAAGTTGTCTCATATGTAATCATTGGGAGAAATATTGGTGTACAAGCCCAGGTCATTAGGGGTGACATTTTAACCTACCTATATAAGGAATATGAGCCATTCTTGAGAGCATACATACATATACATACTAGAGAGAGACTTTTGACACAATAGACATATCATATTCTTAGTGAGGAAAAAAAGAAGAAAAGAGGCTAGAGACACAAGCTTGGAGTTCTTCCATCAACCAAGAAGAGGAGCAATTTCTACCATGGAGTTAGCCCTTGAGGGTTGGAGGACACCATCCATGAGTGGCTAGACGTCCTCTTGGGGTTAGAGTTAGCCCTAAGTATGCTTTCTACATCTTGATTTATGTATTTTTTAGGGTATTTGTATTGTGCACATGTTTTGACATTTTTATATACATAGATCTTGTTTATTCAATTATTTGTGTGATTTAATACTTCCAATTAATCATTTCATTCTATCCATATGTCTATGTATGCTAGAATAGATGTTCATGTGTTTGTCTCTAAATTTTTTGTTATTGATGCATGTCTATGTGTATTGATGCTATAGATCTAGAGATTGTCAAGACATAGTGCTTAATAGAATGCTCTTGTAGTTTATTTGATGGTTCATACTCATTTCTTGATGGATTGTGCCTTTCCCTTAGTTTAATTAGTTTAATTTCATGTCATTAGCTTAATTGTAGTGTAGTTGTAGTTTAGATATTAAATGGGAGGACAATCCATGTTTGTTGTTTGATGTTCCATACTTATGAAAACAAGTAGCATATGTCTCTAACCTTGTGATGTGTTTGGATTGTAAGCCTAAAGAAAGGATTAATGACTTAGTTTGATATATTGTGCTATCCACTATGTTGCTTAGACAATATATACTTAATTAGTCATCCATGCTTATTGAAACAACCACACACACACACTATTATTGCAATACATGTTTTTCCCCCTCATTAATCATTCATTAAGGGTGTAGAAAAGTTATGCTTAGTGGTGATCTCTAAACCCCAAGACCTCTCTCTCTTATTCTCTCTCTATTATATTTAATTGTTTACTTTAGTCTAAATTGCATCTTAGTATAATTCAATCACCAACCAATCTTTTGATCACTCGACCTACTAACCCTAATCTCGATTTCACAACCTAATACGACCCACCAATCCCTTGGGACGATCCCTACTCGCCCTAACTATATTTTTAGTGAAATGTATTAGTGACAAATTATAAATGTAAAACTTTGCCACACTCATCTTAGTCCAACATCTTTTGCAAACTTTTGGTGCATAGGTACGGCGCATACCAATATGTGAGACTAAACTTATTAGTCAGCTCACATATCCACCTCAAACATCATAGCCATATCTTGACAATGGCACCACATACAATAAAACCAAACTAGATAATAAAAGTTAATCTATACTTATTAGCCAACTCACATATTTTCCATAATGCACACAACTCATATATGAAAGATTATTACCATTTACAACTTATAAGTTAAATAAACTCTATATATGCATACTACAAATCATTAATATGATAATCATCATTTAAGAATAGAAAAACATGATTAATATCATCTATTACAATATCACATAATACTTCAATATGATTAGTATCATAAACACAACTACAATCTCATTATGATTAATATCATATATCCCATTAAATCTAATAATGATAAATATCATTTATAATATAATTAATGTCATAAATCACAATAAATCATATTATGATCAACATCATTTAAGAAAATTATCAATATCATTTATCAAAATAACCAATAATAACAATGATATGATAAGTATCATTTATCAACGAGAATGAATAATTATGCTTAATAGTGTTTATCACATTATACTATATACTCCAACTATGATTATTATCTTTTAATACAATACCGAATATGTTTTCAATATAATCAATATTATTTATCAAACATACACCCCATATTTAATTCACCATTTAAAATTTATCGAGTTTTAGCGTAACGAACGCAATTCCAAAAATAAGCCTAAAAATAAATTTTCTCTAAAAATTCTAAAAAATATATAATAAGAAACATAATTAACAAAAATTACCAAATTTAAAATATGAGGACAATCGGATTTCGTTTCAGTCTCAAACAAAAAGCACAAAAATATTGCAATGTCTCCTAACAAATTAAAAAACGCGATTTTGGAATCCTAAACGATGATTTTCGACCAAAAACTAACATGGATCATAAATTAAAGCTAGTGTGTTTTTCTTAATTGATCGTTTACAGCCAAAGAAACACTATAATCTGGTTGGAAAAGGACTTTTTGAACTGTTGTTTGACAGAATTCTGCCTTGCATCGTCTGAAATTTTTTTTCTTAATAATTGTACAGAATTGTTTAAATCATTCAATTACAGTTAATGAAAACATAAATAAGGTTCAAATTCATCAAACAACAACAATTAATCAAATTAGGGTTTTCAAAACTAAGTTAACAATTTTACAGAAACAAACACATACATTTTTATATATATATATATATATATATATATATATATATATATATATACATGCATATACAGTTCAATATATATCAAATTAAAGCATTTAATCATGTTCAATTTCTTCTGAATTAAACCCTAAAGTCAAGCATAAGGTGCTAAGCTTATGGGTTCTTAGAGAAAGAGTAGAAAATAACTCACCTTAGAATTTTCAGATCAAAAATCAAACCGTAAACTTCTCTTATCTTCTTCTCCAACTCCGACAACCTTAGATTAGTTGTTTTGTCTTCTCCCTCTTTGCATCTCAATTCTCTCTCTCTCTCTTGATTATACGTTTGATACTAACCCTAATAATAATGATTTTAAATAAATATATATAATTATAATCATGAAATAAAATAAAAATACATATAATATACTACATATGCTTATATAATATACTACATAGACTTTAATATGCTACATGGGCTTTAATTCCAATACAACCCAACAAGGCCTTCCAAATAAGTTAAACCCAAATCCATTTACTTAAAATAAATAATAAAACAATCAACTTGCAAACAAAAGTACAAAAACAATTGCAAACACAAATACAGAAACAACAAACACAACTAGATAATAAAATATATCAAACAAATCACATCACAACCAAATTGACAAATTAACACACAATCAAGATAAATAACTAACTAACTCATTTAAATAAAATCGCACTTAATCAATTACCCAAATAATTTAAATAAATTAACTAATTAAATTAAATTAAATTAACTTCTAAAAATTAGAGGTATTATAATAAGCACTATAAGAAATAGGAGTGCTTTCTGAACTTCACTCTATTTTTTCTCTGACCAAGTACATTCCGTGTAAAAGCCTATCTATGTATGTGGATAGGCTTCTCATCAAATGCAACCAGACTAATGCGAGAGAGAGAAAGGTGACCCGTTCAATTTCAGAATACGAGTCATATAGTAAATGGGTTGGGTTATAATAATGGTCGGGTTTTGTAATCGAGTTAGCTTTTTATAACGAGTATGTCTCATGCCAACTTGAATATATCGCTTTCATTTTTTTTTTTTTTTCCTCTAGTTATATCGCTTTGAATTTCATATAGCGCAAAGTACTTTTATTTAATAAATAAATAAAATAGTCCAAAAATCGGGTCGATTGTGTAAAATGGTTCATTCTGTTAAACGGGTTGACCCATACTGACTTGCCTTCACGGAAATTGAAGGTTGAAATTTCAAGATACGGTATAAAAATTAAAAAGTTTTGAATAGATATTGCAAAATACTATATATATGGATAAGATGAGTTTTATCGACCTATTTACATTCATCCCACCTTAATGTTAGTAATTATATTAGTTTTTTTATTCAATTTTTTAACTCCAATAAAGATGGAATTAGACTAGGAAAAAAACTAAGAGTATTTTTTTTTTATTTCAGAAAAAGAAAAAACAAAGGAAATGGGTCGGTGGGTCATTAAATGGTTTAACTATAGGTTCCTATCCATATTTGACCTACTATCCATATTTGACCCAGCTCAAATCCGACACAACCCACCCATACCAAAAACCAAAGCTCAAATCCGACACAACCCACCCATACCAAAAACCAAAGCTTTGCCCATCATAGTCTGACTCTCAGCTTCCAGATCCGATGTGGCACAACTCACAATGTCATCATTCCGAGCGGGACGTTTGGCATAATACCGAATTAATGATTAGATCTGACTCTGATATCAACTGTAACAGGTAAGTGCTTCACAATATGACCCAAAAACTAACACCCAGTCCATGTATACCCATCACTTTTCCATCTAAATTCGATGTGGGACAAATCTCCCTTTATGACACACTGGGCTATACAATTATTTCATTCTATACAAATCTTACTTGTAGAAGAGAAATAAATAAATAAATCACAATTCGAATAACATAATTGCTACATAATTTCAATTCGATTAGATCCAATGCCATTAATTAGAAAGTTGCGTCATAACGCGAAACATATTTTATTTTTTTTAAACATAATGCGATAATGAATTAATGATTCACGTGCTTGGCTTCTAATTGCATGCTCTTCTCAAAAGCTACTCATCATACTGCTAATATTTTAAACGCTAGCTAGCCATTCAACTTGTTCCTTTAGGGAGTAAAGATGACTTGAATTCTTTTTCTTATTACTCTTTTTTTCTTGATTGACCACTGATGACGGTTGTTTCATAGACTTGCAGCTCGCTCTCTGAAAGAGCACAAATAACTAGAAGAATGTTTACAGTTTGTTCAATGAACATATCTTAAAGATCAATTACATAGCCCTTCCTTTCTTTCTCCAAAAACATCTAAATAATGCATACATACATACATATATATATAGAGAGAGAGAGAGACAGAGAGACAGAGTGCACCCTTTCTGCAGCCAGTGCCACTTCAAAACATCATCTACCTCTCTTCTGAATTGAATCTGTTCCAAGCTGCCTGTAATGACAGAACCAGAAAGTGGGTGAGAATTAATGAGAGGCGAGACTAATATCATCAGACCTCCATAAAAGTGGTCACCTACGTAAAATTGCTCGAAAAGGAGATCAAGCACCAACCTTGAGAAGATCGAAAACTTTCTCACATATATACTTTTGCTGAATGTTTGCACCACGTTGCTGCAACTTATCAGGATGAACATAAAGAGTGGCTTTCCTGTAAGCTTTCTTTACGGCATTAGTTGTTACAATCTCTGTTAGGGAAATAGGTTGCCAACCACTATCGGGACCAAGAATCTGCAAAACAAGACAATTCGGTTAACACTGCTACTGCCGCTTCTCGAGTTGATCTCAATTGAAGACAACTTTTTCCTTATTCATATTAAGTTCTGTTCAAGATGAAATAAGTGAGTACAATGACCCCTTGATATGGTGGCAAAAACTCTACACATAAATAAAATATCGCTTAGCGTATCTCATTTTCAATTCTATAAAAATGAAGTAATTTGATACTCAAAAATTTGTGTACTTCCAAAAGATGTAATCATATTACCAACCACTAAGGGAACTTATTTGTTAATTGTTATTTAAGTAGCAGAACCCCTCTTGACTGGGAAATTCCCCCTCAGTGGCAAGGATGATCCTTCTTGGTTCACAATTCGTTAAAATATATGAAAACTTTCTAAAAGGTGAGTTTCCATTAGTATTTCAGCACAATTCAGAGCAATAAATACTTTGACTAGGCCAAATAAAAATTAAGCTAAAGTAGGAAGCTTGCACATACATATTGTAGTGTTGAAAGCAAAGCACGCAAGTTGCCTTCCTTCCCATTTGACCATCTCTTGACGTCAGCATCCAGGACTTCTGCTAATCTCTGTAATTAAAATAGATACAGAACCATAAGTCAAACATACATGCATCATCACTAATTGCATAATCTTAGCAACTAATTTGAACGGATAATTACATTTCTCTCAGCTTGCTCCTTCTGAGCACGAAGATCACGCTTATTTTTTTCTGCAAGAGCTTTTGCCTGAAAGAGAGCCAGACAGGAACATTTAAACAATCTTGTCAAAGGACAACAATATTGTTTCCTAACATAAACAAAAGCAAGATGCATACCGCACGTTCCATTGTCCTTTGGTGCCTCTCTAAACTTGCCCTGTGCCTCTCAGATGATTCACCATTAGTTTCGTTATGGCTAGATCTCTGCGTATCCTGTAAGAAATTTTCTGTCAATCATTTTGCATGCAACTGAAGAATATGCTTCATGGATGACAGGGGAGAGTGAACATGATGAATGGTAGAAATACTCACAAAGGAAGAAGATCTCTCCGTCATTCCATTATCTCTGGAAGCACCAGAAAACCTCTCGTCAATAATTCTTTCAGCCTGTTCTCTTGCCACAGAGGTAGCCTTCTGGGATAATAATTTTTCCAGGGCACGCTCTCGAGCCTCTGCAGTTGCTCTCTCTACTGCAGCACGCTCTGCTCTAAGTTTAGCTTCAACAGAAGCTTTCTCAGATGATGATTTATTCCCTGCAGAAGCCTTCTCAAACTTTTCTCGGGTTTCAGCCATTACTCTTTGGCGAGCTTCAGCAGTTGCTCTCTCCACGGCAGCTCTTTCAGCTCTTTCTCGAGCCTCAGCAAATGCCCTCTCACGAACTTCACGGATTGCTCTTTCAACAGCTATTCTATCTTTTTCTCTTTCTTTTTCCCTCTTGTTTGCTTCATCAGTTTTTAGAAGGTGCTCTTTTTCCACCTTCACTTCTATTTGCACAGTTTCTTTGGTTTCCTCATCTTCCGTTGCAAAGGATCCACTGAGATTCGCCTCATTCTTTCGGGTATTTTGGTTTAACTTGATCTCCTCATCTATTTTCACAATTTTTTCTTTCCCTTCGAGATTGTAAAGCTTAGATGGTTGAGATGCTTCCAATTTGTTTCCTGTTTCGACCTCTTCTTTCTCCTCATGAGCTGTTTCAAAATTATTATTGTCTCTCTCCTTAACAAGGGTAATTTCAGCCTCCCCGACTTCAACCTCTTGACTTTCCTCATGAGCTGTTTCAAAATTATTGTCTTTTCCCTGATCAAAGGCAATTTCAGCCTCCTCATCTTCTCCTGATTGTGGTTGGGGTGCGTCCAATTTGTTTCCCAGATCAACCACTAGACTTTCCTCATGAGCTGTTTCAAAATCATCGTCTTTTCCCTGATCAAAGGCAATTTCAGCCTCCTCATCTTCTCCTGATTGTGGTTGGGGTGCGTCCAATTTGTTTCCAAGATCAACCACTAGACTTTCCTCATGAGCTGTTTCAAAATCACCGTCTTTTCCATGATCAAAGGCAATCTCAGCCTCGACTTTTTCATCATTTTCTCCTGATTCATGCTCCAATCTCTCAATACGATTTCCTGAATCGGAGGCTACTTCAGATTCCTTCTCATTCTGGTCAATTTGTTCTTGTCCAAAGTTTGTTTTGATTAAATCAGTATCTGTCTGATTGTCATCAAAAAGGAAGGCTTTAGTGGTATGATTCATTCTGTTTTCAATCTCAATGTGTTCAGCAGCACTTTTAGCCAAGCCAGCTGCTTTACATATAACTTTCTCGTCCAGCTCATATTCCACCTCAACCGTTCCTTGTTCCTTCTCATTCTCTTTAAGTTCACAGAAAGATTCGTAAAAATGCAGTTTCCTCTCACACTTTTCATATGCAGTAACCTCTGGATTTATGTCCATGTTGTTATCATTTTCATTATTTATATGGGGTTCTTGAGTCCCACTCATGCTTTCACTTGCATCCCTCTTACATTCATCACTAGCTGCATCAAGACTCTTCTCTTCCTCAACAGCTTCTTGATTCATTTTTGTCTTCCCATTATCTCGGCATTGGTCAGTCTCTCTCTGTATACTCTCAGTTTCTTCATATTCATGAGCCTCTACAAGCTTCTTATCATATTCATGAGCCTCTGTAAGCTGCTTCTCATTTCCCTCCCACTTAGAGTCCTCTTTTAGTCTCTTCTCACTTTCTCCGCCATCATAATTGTCACTCAATCTCTTCTTGATTATTTCCAGATCATTAATCGTGTCCAACCACTTCTCATTGTCTTCTCCCTTGTGTGCATCATTGTGTCTCTTCTCATTGCTTTCCCCCTCACAGGACTCTCTCAATTTATTTTCATAATCCACGCATTCCCAAGCCTCTTTAAGTCTCTTCTCATTTTCTTGTTCACGAATCTTTGGTAGTCTGGTTTCATTTTCTTCCTTCTCATTAGCATCTTTTATAATCTTCTCATTTTCTTCTTGTTTGAGAACCTCTTGTTGTTTCTTCTCATTTTGCATCCACTCCTGGGCATCATTTGGTCTCTTCTCATTTTCACTTTCATTCCACTCTTGGCACTCGAAAAATTCAATTTCTATTGGCTCATGAGTTTCTTTCAGTATCTTCTCACATTTTCCCTGCTCACAGGAATTTTGTTGTGTGTCCTTAGTTTCATCATCATGCGCAGCTCTTGTTTCCTCATTTTCGTCCTGCCCATGAACCTCTTGAGCTGATTCCATTTTAATCACATGCTCTTCCAAGTCTTCCGCAATTCTAAATGCATTCAGTGTCCTTTCCATATTATCCAGTTTATGAGCTTCTTCAACTACTCTCACACCATTTCCTTCTTGCTGTTGAAAAATTCCTTCAGCTGTTTTCATCTCCTTGCTTGCACCTTCATGGGCATCTACAGATTGCATAATGTTTTTGCTGTCTGCTTGCTTGAACACTATTGTTGCTGTTCTGTGCTGACTTGTGCTTACCACTTCAGGAAATGGTCTGGTTGCTTCACATTCTTTGGTTAATTCTGCTTTGTTCCCATCTGCTTCTACAACAATGTTTCTAGCAATAAAAAGGTTCTCACTGTCTTTGGATTCTGGAGCTACTTTGCCGCTTCTCATTGCAGTTTGCCTTTCAATTCCAGCAAAAACTTGTGATGCAGCATCCACTCTTTCACGTATTCCATTAGCATTCTTCTTTTTTGTTCTGTTTGTTTCACCAGCAACTTTTTTGTCCCTTCTGTCCTTAGCATCCAAACCATTCTTAGAACTTGGCTTCGGAAAACTTCGGAAACCTTCCTTCTTCCGTTCCATTGATTCTTTCGCAATTCTTATACTTGCTTGAGCCTTCTCTATTGCTTTTCTCAAAGCTGCTGCAGGGGCAGCAGCTGCTGAATTTACATCTATTTCCTCATCGGAAAATGGCGGTGAAGAGTCACCAGGACCACCTTTAGAAGCATCACTTTTAAAAACCTTTGAGTTCGAAGTTGTTGATCTCTTGAAATCACCTTTACCACCACCTACTTTGGTAGGCAGACTTGAAGGTGGTGGAAAATTAGAAGGTTGTGTTTTAAGGTTGATTTCATAGCCATAAAATGACTTATCATTTGAATGGAATTTATCAGGACTACAGTTGCTATCAAATTTAACCCCACTGTCAGAATTGTGCGGCGTAGTGAGATTTGGCACGGCCTTCCCATGATGTTTTCCTTCCCTTAACCCCTTCCTGAAATCCATATCAAAATTAACATCACCTTTTAACGAGGGCACCGATTTATCGCATTCTGTCTTCTGCAGAGGAGTTTTTTCATCAACAAAGTAAGTGAATCCAGGAACTGCATGAAGTTGAGCTATGTGGGTTGTCCCATTCGTTTCATTGTTTCTTTTTTGATTGGATTTATGAAAAGACATGTTAAACTGCTTCCCACCATCAAATGATTCATGAGATGCTTGATGTGAAAACAATTGACTCTCTTCAGAATAATTTAAATGATCTGACCCTTTGCAAGGAGATACAGTTTCGGCCGGAGTCCTGCACATAAATAAAAATGGAAGACAATTAAAACCTTTACAGATAAGAATTAATCAGGGCACGAGGCAGAATTCAAAGATGAAAAGAAGAAAGGAAGGAAAAGGAACCACCCAGTTCTTAGGTGACACGATCTCATATATGTGTTCAGAGTGTGGATATCTGTCTTAGCATCGAATTCGTTAAATCTCCAAACAAAAGGACACGAGGACACAGCTAAATATTCATACTACTTAGTATTTTATTATAGATTTAAAAGCATTAATATTTTTATGTAACACAATGTTTAAAATAACTATTTTGCTCGATTTTCAGTATTAATATAATAAATTTAAATTGTTGGACATGTTTGTGCATGTCCAACTGAGCCCAGTGTTGGTCTCGCCTACGCAATGTGCTGGCAAAGAAAAGCTAGAGACATAGTTAACGTCTGGCATTGCTTTGCACAAGGTGGCTGCTTCAAGACACAAGTTTCTCAAGGAAACCATGCTAAGCAATCAAATTAGTGTTCTGCCAAAGTCCACCAATGTCACATCCAACAAGTGCAATTGGGGACATGTTCTATTTTTGACAATTGGATCAACCACTCTGGCCTTGCAATGTAATTTATCATCCAAACTCCTTATACCTTGTATCTACTCCCACAAGGAGCTCAAATCTAACAATAGCCCAGAAGAGAAGAGAACAATGCTGTTGATTTTAGAAATTAAAAATGCACTTGCAAAGCAACTTCTACTCCAACCTCCTATCATAACAACCTTCTAAATGATTAAAATGGCAATAATACAGTCGCAAATTACAAGTCCCATACTAGATAGAGCTATGAACTGAACAACCTACGCAAAGGAAGATAGGGCGAGAGAGAGAGAGAGGTGGAATTTAAAGAAATACTTGATCAATAACCAAATTTGACTAATGCTAACTAGTTGGAGAGGCAGATCCTTTCTTCAATCCTCACTCCCTCCCTATCACTAAATCCTATTATATCTAAGACTAGTTTCCCAGTAATTCATGAGAGGGTTCAAGGCAAGATCCTATGACCACATTCAAAACCTTTAATCAAATATCTGCAAATTGGCAGATGACATATTATTGCTACCACCGTTACCCAGTGTTGGTCTCGTAACTCCTTTGACATCACTTTACATAAAAAGTGATTGCTTAGACTAATAGAAGTGCCTTCACACTTGTAAATCCAAGTTTTCATCATTGCACTAAGCAATGAGCTAACACAACCTTCACCAACGCCCCCACCTCTCATGGCCACTGCCCTATCTGACACTCCACCGGCAAAACCAACTCCTTTCTATTCTCTACTTCTTTCCTTTCATGAACTTTTGTGGCACCCAAATAAGGGGTCAAATTACACGTAATTAGTAACATGTCATGTTCTCGAATTGCATCCCACAGAAAGAGCAACTAGTAAGTTCTTGGCCTTTTCAAGCCTTTTAGCTTCAATCTCACAACCTGTGCGCTAAAGATCTGGTCCAATTAGCTCTATTATGGCTACATACTCAAATCTCATATAACCCAAAAGGCAGAAACAAAAAAGAAAGAAATATGAAGTTTAAAGTTCAACTTTTTTACTTTTTCCTCTTTTACTACAAGTAATTAAACTGTTCGAGATGAAAGAAATGTCAAACCTACCTTGCACAACTACAACAATAAGGATGCTAACAGATGGTCATGCTAAAACAACATGCTTCAATGTGAAATATGAATAAACATTTCAATTCCAATTTGAATAAGCATTTAACAAATGCAGTACAAAAAAAAAAGCCACAATATACCAAAAATATATAGATATGTAGGACAAACAGAGAACTCACCGTGCCTTCTTAGAGAAATTTTCTCCTTTTTTTGGTTTCGCAAACACTTCCTCATAAGATGAAGCAATTTCTTCATCGCGAAAACCTCCGAAAATTTTAGAATAATCGAGTTTCGACCTCCGAGCATGAACCGAAACATTCGTTTCTTCCAGAGCCGAAAGATCGACAATCGGAATAGAAGAAGCACGCGAAGCTTTAGAGCCACCAAAAATCTCAACATAATCTTCAACCGAAGGAGACGAAGCCTGAGCTCCGAACTTCGGCGGACCAGCAAAAACGTCGTCGTATGCGTTCTTGGAGGAGAAATAGCCATTCGCATTCAACAGTTTCTTGGAGAGAGTCGCAGAGGAGGCTTGATTTCTGTAGAGAGGGCGCGAGATAGACTCCATTGACGAGAGGTTGCTCGAGCTTTGGGGTCTACCTAGGGTTTACGCGTCTTCTTCTCCTTGCTATGATGTTTGCTAGCTGAGAATTTTTGGAGGCTCGGACAACGAAGAAGAGAAAGAGTGAGAAAATGATAGACAATACGAAACGAAGGAACAGTGCAGGTGAGAAATTGAAAGAAAATGCGGTATAACTGTCCAATGTACGGGCTGAAAAAATCGGCGATTTTTTTGTGCAGGAAACAGGTGACCGGATAAGCCGGTGATGTGGGGAATACAACGTTAATGAGCGTTAAAGGAGGGTGATATTGGTATTTCACATGTACAGATGGGAATGTTTCATGAAGTCTATTGTTTGTCCCGTTTGGCCTCTTTCCAAGCCCTTACTGCAACACCGACCACTAATTTAAAATAATATTCTGAATAATAAAATCAATTTAATTATTTTAAAATAATTAACCCATCCACAAACTCATTTGAAATAAGATGAGATATACTAAGTGCTTGATATTAAGTTATTATTAATTTATTAGTTATTAGTTTTGTTTAAATTGAAACATACATTGAATTTTTATGTTATTTTTTAATTTGAGAAACCCTATTTTTCATTTGAAGAAATTAACTCTTAATTTTTGCATAAAAATTAGCATATGACTTTAAAAATTGTGACAAAATAAACAAAATACTACATGAAAAAAAAAAAAAAAAAAAAAAAAAAAAAATACTTAAATATAAATATTTGTTTTTAATGTGACAGGGCAAAAAGCTAATTTTCCAGACATAGACACACATGTGTGCGCGTGTGTCACGGTCGTCGTCAACGGGAAGAAAAAAAAAAAAAAGGAGTATGTCTGTCTATTAACCTATAGCAGCTGGATAGAGTTGTATAAAGTTGGAGATTCTCATGACTGTATTATTATTATTATTATTCCACATTCAAACGTTTAATCATTATTCAAAATATATTCTGTACTTATGTGGGGTAAATTACCCCAGTCACGTTAGGTGACACCGAGTCCACCGGCACCATGGGTACGAAATCTCGCCGGTCAAACTTTGAACGTTTGATAGCTGGGCTGAACCGACCGTTATATATTGATGTTACAAGCCTACAACAAAGACGCTTAATCAGACGATAAAGACACAAACTAAAGTGTGAGAGCGGCCATGGAACACTATTCATATATATTTTAGTACGTTGGTACTGCATTGAACGGTCGAGATGACGCTATATTGTAATGGACGGTGATGAACAGTCACATAATTTACACGCCTGATTATATCACATGTTTGAGAGATTCGAATTGTCCAATTATTAGAACACAAATTCTGTAAGAGCAAATAATTCGTGATCATTTTGTCATTGGAAAGAACCTCACGGTCCTCGCACACTCCTTTAAAGACTCAAAACCTCGTCATTTACTTTAAAAAATAAAAGAGATATAACTGCGCTACAAAGCCTTTGATATTCGTATCATTGGAAAGAAACTCACACATTCCTTTAGAGACTCAAACCCTCACCATTCACTTTAAAAAATAAAGGAGATACAATTGCGTCACAAAACCTTTAATATTTGTAAATTTTCCTAATGCTTACTTGAATTGACTATCATATATTGACAATATGACAAAGAGGATCTTACACGAATTCACACCTGTTAATTTGATGAATGTCAAATGTCAAATAATTGTGCTATAACTATATTATATTTAATTAAAAAAATAACACAGTTTAATGTGACCATTTTATACGAGTGAGAAATAATTCATTCTAAGTGAAGGATGACGTGATCATCATTAGACTTTCAGGCACATCTACTTATTTTACTAATGCCTAGTTGCACATATAGTATATTGTTAGTATCAGCATCATGTATATTCATGTGTCATCTCTCTTAATACATAATAAAAGATCTTTAGCAAAGGGGCATGAAGTTGCAGATTAGTGATTAGAATTATTTTTTTTATTCATTGGACCCACAAAAATGATAACATGCAACATATAGTACATATAAGCTTTTATAGTTTAATGGAAGATCATAATAAGCTAGATCATTGATGTGGTTAAAGGAAGTAGCTTTTAGGAGAATCTTATGAAAAGGTGGAGCTCTATTATAGAAATGATGAAGAATTGAATTTTAGATCGATCCAAATCATAAAGCAGATAGTTATTACTACTTTTACTTTTTGTGTGTCGAAGAAAATGGAGGGAAGAGTTCTATCATCACTTTTTTATTGGGGGAGGCTTGTTTTAACTTAGTGACTACCCATTGGATCAATCTAGCTTTCATTACAGATTTATGAGTCATGGATCTGCAGGCAAACCATGTGCATTGTCACTCTGCATGTAAATATAGAGATACAAATTAATTTTGTCTTTATTATCCATATAAGCTTTAAATGGTGTTTGCCCAAAATATATATTAATTTGTCAACACGTGTCGTGTTATCATAGTGATCGAATTATTCTGTGTTCGAGAACTTGTATTTGAGCATTGCACCATTTTCTTTCCCTCAAACCATTCTGTTTTACGTTTTTTAAGTATTGTTGCAAATAAATTGCATCATTCTCTACCTAATTTCATGGGAAGCTTAGCATTGTCTACCCAATATCATGCACAGCCTTTTGTTTTTATTATGATCGTGGTTGTCATCATCATTGTTGTTGTCCTCGTAATGCACAACGGCTAGTGAAAACCCATGAACCAAGCGATATCTTCTTGTCTTGAGAGCATTGAGATTTTTGGGCCTCAATTGTACCTATTTGTAAGCTGGGCTACAGAATCAAACAATCAGGACCTATCAATTATATATGTTCTATCCCATGCTAGATCTGGGCCATGGAATATAAATATTTGTAAACTTTTTAAGTCCAATATCACAAACCCACGAAATACTCGGCCTATTACAGTTGATATTATAGTCGCATTCAGTACTTCATCTTAGGGGTGCACAAAAATCCGGTCAAATTGAAAATCCAAATCGGATCAAACCGGACCGAACAATTTGCTAATGGTTTGGTTCAGTCACGGTTCTAAATTTGTAAAATTGTAAAGATACGGTTTGATCACAGTTTGAGGTCATTTAGGACCGAACTAGATCAAACCGAACCGCTATATTATAGATATATATATATCTATATGTGTGTGTGTGTGTGTGTGTGTTAAATTATATAGTATATATAATATAATATAATCCTACAATCTAAATCACTTAAAAGTTTGTAGCAACTATCAATCTTATGATCCACTCTTAATTCTCTTAGGTCTTTTCAATTTATTAGATGATTCTTTTTCTTTTTCTTTTTTTTTTATAATGGCTGAATTTTGAATTGTGGCTAATTGTTTGTTATTGAATTAATAATTCTAAATGTATTAGGTTATTAGCAATTCAGAATTTATTCACTTCAGTTCCAGAAGTGATGGAGAAATATGAATTAAAAGTTCTTAATATATTAATATTTCTGAATGTTTTGATAACTTGGTTTATTGTTATGTATGTAAATTTTGAAATATGAAATACTTCTGTAATAAAAATAAATAAATAATCGTGGAACCAAATCAACCGAACCGATTTTTCATGATTTGATTTGGTTTGGTTTCTTTGATCAAATGGTTTGGTTTGGTTTGAAATTTTATGAAATTGTTAGACTTGGTTTGGTTCCAAAAAAACTCTTAAATCAATCCAAATCGAACCGTATGCATCCCTACTTGATCCGATGTCACGCCAAACGCCCGGTCCGAAGGAGGATAAGTAAGGTGGCACAACCGTAACGAGGGTGTTACGAGCTCAATGAGATAAAATGTCAAGATATCTGAATGGAAAGTAAAATGCAGCCTAATGTACAGCATTAGATAATATCATAAAATTGTCTAATGAGTTCCTAAATGACCTGGACACACTACCAAATTCCCACTAGGTCAAATTCATTCTGACTAGGTGTGGTGGTGTTGTTGAATGGTAAAGTGTCAGGTCTTTAGAGCCCCAACTCTATAGATTTCAGGTTCAATTCCCCTCCCCCGCTAACTATCACTAACTACTAACCATTGCCAGCTAGGAGTGCAATTTGTTTTATTGTTTTGGAAATATATGATTATAAGAAGGTTATTTTGGTATTTTACAATAAGGGTTTGGAGGATATTTTGGGTCTTAACAATAATTGTTGATACATTTATAATTATTTTATTTTATTCAATTAAATTAAATTAAAAAAATAAAATTTTAAAATAGACTCTTTTTTTTTTCTTTTTTTTTTTTTTTTTTGCACCAACGAACAGTTTAACCATTAAAAGAAAAGGAAGAACATTCGAGAAGGAGAGCATCCAACAGCCACTAGGGCCAAATGCTCCACTCAAAATCGTCACATTCGGCTAAAAGAGTTTTCTTGCTCAAAACATGAGTTACAACATTTCCTCGACGAGGAACCCAAGCAAAGGAAGAACCCTCACAAACCTTAAAAAGAGACTTAACATTATTAAAAATAACCATTAAGGCCTCAACAGATGCATGAAAGTTCATAATTAATTTGCAATCGCCCTCCACAATCACATCTTTATACCCCCAGTGTTTAACAAGCAACAAAAATTCATAAAGAATTAGACCTTCAGCCAAAAAAGGGCAACTAACATTCTCAAGAAAAACTGAAGCCACCTTAATGGGATGTCCAAGATGGTTTCTGAGAATCATACCTCCCCCACCAGTCTTCTGAACAGAGTTGAAGGCCGCATCAAAATTAAGTTTGAAAAATCCAGTCGCCGGCGCCGTCCAGAGCTGAGACGGAACAAAAGAAGGAGAGGATGGAGGTGACAACAATTGATTTTGCCGAGATATCACTTGGAACTCTTGAAAAGCAATTTGAGCTTTTTGAGCAGTGTTAAAGGGATCCCATCGTTTTTGCTTAAAAATGAGATCATTTCTGCATTTCCAAATGGTCTAATAGAGAAAGGCTGCTAAGCTTATACAATCATCTGGAGCTTCAGTTAAGGTCCAGTTTGAACAAAGATCTAACCACCTTTTAGGCCAAAAGGAAGGAAAATCAGCACTGAAATTATTTCTAAACGGGCTAAGTTTCCAAACCATGCAAGCAAAGGGACAGGTGCATAGAAGGTGATTAACCGTCTCAACCTCCAATTCACAAAATAGGCAACAAGACCTGTCAGAGATGCCACGTAA